TATTTTTATTCATTAATGGTTATAAAATTAAAATTATTAATTGTTTTGTTTTCTATATAATTACTAATTGAATTTGTCTAATATTATATGGAGTTAAAACTTATTAATTATAATATCTATAATTAATTTTATATAAATTTTTATAATAAATTTATTTTTTTAATAAATGTTACGATAAATATAAAAAAAATTACATATCAATCTCAACTTAAAAAAAAATTAAAATTTTAACGTTAAATCATATCATTTTATTTAATTAAAACTCAATTTAAAATTTAAAAGTTTATCTTATTAAATATTAATATTTAAATTTAAAAACTGATTAGATTTTTAAATTTTGATTTGATATTTTAATTACTAAATATAAATCAAAACTCTAATTTTTTAAAGTAAGGACTAATATGCATTAATATAATATATTTTATTTTAATTTTACATTTTATATTTTAATTTAATGAGAAAAGTTCTTGACTTTTAAAAAATATATAATCGCAACTTTAAACAGTATTATTTTATTTCATTAAAATCTAATTTAATACACCTTTTATTTTAAGACAAAATAATTCCTAAACTTTATGATAATCGTCTCCAACAGTCCTTCTGAGACGTTAATTCCTAACAGATATGTGATATTACACAATGACACTTACCATTAACGCTTTCAATATAGTCTAAACATAATGTTCTTTTATAGTTTGTTTTATACAAAGTACAAAAAGAAATTATTGATGTAAGGATGGCCTTTTAATTTTAGGATACCCTCTCTATAAGGGGTGAACTGTACTTATACTTCTTTTTTTTTTTTTTTTTGATAAAAGTAATGGTTAGAAGTTAGTATGTTAGAAGTGTTAGTTGGAGGTATTAAATCTGAGACTTGAGAGTGCAAACCACGGACTACCCTTTGGGACAACAAGTGGCTACTGAACCACGGCACATGAAATGCTTATACCCTTTTTTTTGTACATTATATATGTGTTTAAAATAAACCTTGCACTCAAAGTAACAAGAAAATTATATATGCAATGTTTTAAATGAAGTTTGGGATGATATTGTATCGAATAAAGGAGAGTAAGAACCATCACCATAATTTGCCCACTAAAAAAGTAGAAGGTGGTGTCTAACCCATATCCCTTTAATATTGTTTTGATTACTTTGAACGGTCAAAAGGGTACTTATACTAGACAATTTTATTAAATATGGGAGGCTTTATAAGATTTAAGACCTTGACATTGAGAACAAGGAACAGGAACGCACCTGTAGTCTTGAAAAGTAACGGGTTAAAACGCAAGATCAAAAGGCGGAAGAATACGATTCCCCCATTACATCAATTGGGAGAACTAATTAAGAAGAAAACTGCAATGGAAGACAAAAAGAAAACCACAGAGAAAAGCTCAGTGCCACTGCCACCCTTTGAACGGCAGTTGTTGGATTTTTGGAATTTTAAATTTTGAATTGGTTTTACGGACCTGATTGAGCTTTGAAAAGCTAAGAGTCAAGGGGGCATCAATATGCAAGGCGATTGTTGATGTGTACTCCTATCTGCGAATGCATAGACAAGTGCAACTGAGTCCATTTGTAAGGAAGCATTATACAGATCAGAAAACTTGCTTCGCGAACTCCATTATAAAGTTCTTTCCAGAACAATCTGCATAACAGAAGTTTGAACCCAAGACGTGCACCTAACTCACACGTCATGAGAGTCCTTAATGTAGTGAAACACTTGGGGTTGGGGAGGCACAACAGCAACGTGTTTCTAACATTAGAATTAAAGAGGTTTATCAAATCTGCCATGACAAGTCGACAAATACACCATCAAAGCTTAATATTTCATTAGGCAATAAGTCATCCATTATAAATTTTGAGGATACGCCACTTACATTTAAGCACAGGCCAGTCTAGAAAATGCATGTAGCAAATAAATAAATTCTTATATTACACGAGAAGATCTTGACCACAGACCACATGTTTATGCAGTTAATAGGGAATGAAGCTTGGTAAATAATTAGAGAGGGAAGAAAACACAGTAGAGAGTTTATTTACTAAACAACAGTCAGGATTTTATAACACACTACTGAAGGTAAGTAATCAAGCAAACCAAGACTGTCAATCAGAACGGATCCCACCCATAAAGGTCCTTGGATCAGGACAACTACCAGTAAACTGAGCTTGAGAAAAATCAAAACCTGGGTTCTGCAAAAAGGAAAACATTGTTACTAGAATCTTAATCATATCATGGCAATGTTGATTAAGATCGTCATGGACTTCATAACAATCAAGTATTTTGCCACAACTTCAACAGCTCTGACATAAACAAAAATGAAAATTAATAAAAGATCTCATTTTGACAGCAGCACATCAGATACCAATAAACTTGTGAAAAATGCTACATAAGCTTCAAACATCCTGAAATACACACAACAAAGTAGTGTAAACAAATGATGGTGTTAGTAGAAAGTAGAAACCAAGTCAGTGAAGTGGATGGACATGAAGTTAGGACCATTATTAGTCATTGAAAAATGAACTAAGAAAGCCAAATGAGTGCGATAACCATCATTCGAGGGTGAATTTAAAAATGAAAAGCAAGATCACACCACCACGCTAGAGTATGTAAGTTAATAGGCACCTCTTCTTGAAACCTCTGAAGCATGAGGCGCTTCTGCTCAAGATCAGTGGAGTAAGGGTCCAGCTGACCCTGGCCCAGTATAGGCGATGACCATGTCTGACCCTTGTCTCTCTTCTGCAGTGTTACGTGCATTATGCCGTCCTCTGCATATCAAAAGCTTGCCATTTTACTTCACAAGACATGATAACTCAAAAAAGATGCAAAATAAAGTTTCAAACATGTTCCATTTAATTCTCAAAACCATCATAGCAGAGTCTGATTAAAGTATCTCATTAAACAAAATATTTCCATCAGGATCAAAATGATATTTTTCTGATATATTTTGATTTGGGTCTGCTTAAATAGGTATTTATTCTTCAAATTAATTTTCCTTTGAATCCCCAGTTTTCCCAACAACCAAACAATAATAACTAACAAAAATAAAATTCTTATTCTTTAAAAAAAAAAAAAAGATTATTAAAATACCTAATGTCCAGAAAGAGGAATCCGTCTTCACCGGGCCGGAGAGATCATGCTGGAAAATCCATAAGAACAGACTCAGAAACTAATTCACTCTGCAAAATTAATGGGTAATTGCAAAATTATCAAGTAGTATAAAGGGATTGAAAAACAAACTGACATTGAGATAGGGAGGATTGCCCTTGATGCCAACTTCCAAGTGTTGGGACTGAATCTTGCAGTAAAACTGCTTGGAATGAACATTTGGAGGCAAATTTATGTAAATATTAACCTCATCTATGATTTGATCCCATTCAAACACCTTTTGACCTAAAAAAAAAAAAACAAAGAAATCAGACGCAATAAAACCTAAACCAATTTCAGATTTTCAATCTCAAAATCTTGAATCAAATTAGAAATGTAGAGAGAGAGATATATATATATACCGTTGTGGATGAAACTGTGCCGTGTCTCCGGTGCCAATTTCTCCGCCATTTCTCGACTTCCTCTTCCCCTCGCCGGTTATCTACGCAGGTGTTCGCGCGGTTTCGTCCTCAGATTTTCTCGAATCTAAAGCCAATACCAGTGTTTGGTTTTTTTCCTTCAGAAATTCCATTCCCAAAATCTGGAATTTTGCAGTACGGTCCTTGTATTCGTTCTGATTTTTTTCTTAAAGGAAGTCAATTTGAATCAATTTGAATTTTAACCCCATAAGAAGGATTTATGTCTATTTGCTCCTCTTTATTATTATTATTATTATTTTTTCTCCTTTCTCTCACAAAATAAATATGAAAAATATTTAACTGTTTATTATACTAACTATGAAAGAAAGTATGACATGTTAAATAAAAACTCAAGGAGGAAATTTCCTTAATATATCAACATTAAGAGCGAAATTGATGTTATAAGTTGGGGGAGGGAAAAAAATTCGATTATACCTTGATGGAAAATGTTGGAGGAAATTTCGTCCATCCATTTTTTTTGTTCTCCAAGACCAGAACCAACGATCGGATGGCAGCTTATGGTATTTGTCCTTTGAATATACTAAAATGGGAAAAAAAAAAAAAATGACAACCGTTTGATTCTTTGGGAGGAACCCAAGAAAATACGTGGAAGGAAGGTTCTATGCTTTTGGGCTTGTACGGCCCATGTAAAATTCATCTACGAAGAGTATAATTGAAGCCAGCCCATTATTTGGTATCAGGAGGAAGAACTCCCAGGTCACCCCCCCCCCCCCCAAAAAAAAAAAAAAAGGAAAAAAATGAATGTCACTTTCTCCATTTGAGGATGCAAAACATGTTAATCAAGTTTGAGAAGATTAGGCCAGTGAGAGTCTTAATAAGTGTTGATGCGTATGCTTGGAACGTAATCTTAAATCGAAAAGACTAATATGTAAATTTAACAAAGTAATATATTTTGAGTTAACTGATTAAAAAATTATTTAGATTAACTATTTAAATAAAACTAATAATTAATAATTAAAATTTAATAGTTGATAATTATTATTATTTTTAATTCAAAATATATAATCCATTTAATTAAAACTAACGGGTAATAACTATTTCTAAATCCTCAAATTAAATACCTCCAAAAAGTTTTGGTTTTATCTCATGTCTTCTTAATCAAGCTTCAATTCCCTTGGCAAGAGATGATTTATCCTTTTGGATGTGAATGATTGCCTTTTCGTGTGAGGAATGCGTATCCATATAAGAGGTTTATAGTGTTTTGTAACTTTGCCAACTTCAACAGTCAACACCCCCAACATTACAACGCATAATTAACACCTCAACTTCAGTACGTATAGAGGCTCATGCAAGAATAGGAACAAAAAACACCAACCAGGAAAATTCTAAGAAGCTGCGTTCCAATAACTTACAATTTACAAGTGTACATATGTACATTTACATTTAACTTTGTCCTCTCTATATAATCACCTGGACAAAACCACTCTTATAGTATTAGCAGAGAGATAGAGAAAATGGACTCAGGGGAACTATCCCACATGGAAAATGGAGACTCCAAGGGAAAGGAAGTAATTAACGGAAAGACAGCACACACCATGTCATCCTCCATTCTAAGGAAGAAATCTGATCCAATGCTCATTTCGAGTGTTAGGTTTCAGGTGCTCAGACACTTCTTGGAGAACTTGCAAGAGGTGATCCTTGGAACCAAGCTCGCTGTGCTCTTCCCTGCCATCCCTCTTGCCATGGCTGCAGACTTCTACAAGTATGGAAGGGTAAGAAAAGAGAGTTAAAATATATTTATCTACGATTATCATCTTCTTCCAAATCATATATATATTAAGTATCTTCATTTCCTTTTATTATGTGTTATTAAATTAATCATGTTCATGCAGCCATGGATATTTGCTTTGAGTTTACTTGGACTTACGCCTCTTGCTGAGCGTGTCAGCTTCCTAACTGAGTAAGTACAATCAATAATTTGAATGCTAGCTAGGATTCATGTAAAAATTTGGCAATTGTGTGATCATTGTCAGTCTAACAATATTCATGCAACCTAACAAGCCTAAATTTCTAGTTTTTCTCTTCAAAAATTAATTTATTTCTAATGAATTTTATTTCCTTTCATCATGCACAAAATTCAGGCAAATTGCATACTACACTGGTCCAACAGGTATTGTCTTAATTAAACAGAATGTATTTGATTTTACCTGAGAAATTAATTAAGGGAAATATGATGATTAATTGGGGGAATTTGCATTTAGTGGGAGGACTGCTTAATGCAACATGTGGGAATGCAACGGAGCTGATAATAGCATTATTTGCACTTTACCAACGCAAAATACATGTCCTCAAGTACTCCCTATTGGGTTCCATCATCTCAAATCTCCTCCTTGTTCTTGGGTCCTCTCTCCTCTGTGGGGGTTTGGCCAACCTCAAAAAAGAGCAAAGATATGATAGAGTAAGATACACATTAATTCCACTGATCAATCGAATGGAATTCTTAACATATAAAATTAATGATTGTTGTTATGGCTTAATTATCATTATTAACAGAAGCAAGCAGACGTGAACTCACTGTTGCTGTTGCTGGGATTGCTGTGCCACATGCTGCCATTGTTGTTTAGATATGCTGCTGGGGGGACAGGCATTTTCACTGGTGCCTCTATTCTTCTGCTATCTAGGGCAAGCAGCATTCTCATGCTCGTTGCATATTTTGGATACATCTTTTTCCAGCTAAAAACTCACAGAAAATTATTTGAATCCGATCAAGAGGTGATTACTCCTAACAAAACTTAAAGTTTGAAATCAGATTAATGAAAATAGAAACATGCTAGTTAGAATAATTGAAATGAGCATTGGGCAGGAAGATGAGGAAGATGAAAAGGCAGTAATAGGATTTTGGAGTGCATTTAGCTGGCTGGTTGGAATGACACTGATCATAGCTTTGCTGTCTGAGTATGTAGTGGGAACAATTGAGGTACATACCATTTAGCATTTTCATTCTACTCTCATGGGTTTTTCACCATACAAACCAAAATCCTAAATGGGCTTTTAATGGACGGATTAGGCTGCATCTGATTCTTGGGGCATTTCAGTTAGCTTCATCAGCATCATTTTGCTTCCAATTGTGGGCAATGCAGCAGAGCATGCTGGATCAATCATCTTTGCTTTAAAGGACAAATTGGTATCACATTTTTAAATAATCACAAGCTTGAGATTTGCCTATCTTAGTTTGTCTTTTAATCACTGAACCAATGAAAGTCTCTCAAGTTTATTGGGTTGTATATTTCATGTACCTGTAACTTAATGTTGATGCATATGATTCAGGACATATCTCTGGGTGTTGCACTGGGCTCTGCCACTCAAATCTCCATGTTTGCTGTAAGATTCAATAAAACACAATAAAATTTTTAACACTGAAAACATCGATAATCTGTGTCTTATAATGTTCAATTTATCCATACTGAAAATTTCAGGTACCTTTATGTGTGGTGGTTGGTTGGACAATGAGAATCCACATGGATCTTGATTTCAGTCTCCTTGAAACGGGTTGTCTCGCTCTCTCCATTCTCCTTGTAGCCTTTACTTTACAGGTTCCATCTTTTTCTCTGTCATCTCTAATTTACTTACATAGTGTTGGAAACTTGAACACCCACCACATGTTTGATTAAATATCTGAATGGATTCCTTGCAATTTTTACCCTTTTTCAGGATGGAACTTCACATTACATGAAAGGAGTGGTTCTCTGTCTCTGCTACGTTGCCATTGCCGCGTGCTTCTTCGTTGACAAAATCCCAATGGGTAAGAAATTAATT